CTTTGTCAAGAAAATGAATTTTTCAGCTCTTATACTTTTTTTCACCTCATTAGAAATAATAAAAGATGAAATTACTCATTTCTCACACTGAAAGGAAAATACCTCAATATATGGCAATTTGAATCTGACTCTTTTCGTCTAACATTCAATAGTGGAAAAGTATTTGACCAATCAATTCATACCCAAAATTACTTCCAACTCCACTAAATGTAACTCAATTAAATCTAATCAAAATTCCCTATGGGCTATCTTAAGGTTAACTGAACATGAACCACTAACACATAAGTAATTCCTAGAAAGTAACCAAATACTTGTACGAGGTGTAAAAATAATAGGTTCCAAGTGCAATTTATCTCAAAATACCTCAGAAATAAAATTACGTGATGCAAAAAATTTAAAATAATTATAATAGGTAAGTCTAAAATTATGATCGTACCTATCACTACTTTGAAGATTCCTTATTTTCTTAAGAGGTTAAAGCAAAAACTCAGACTGGTACCAATCTCATATTATCTCAAGATGCTCTTATTTATCTTCAAGGTTACTTTGCTCACTGGTGGCTAGCACCTCTATAAGGTTTTTCACTCTAAACACATTTTAAATTTTCTAGCACCCTGAACATTTTTTGGATAATGTCTTTTGATATGGCCTTGCTCCCTACATAAAAAATACTTCCCTATATTCATTAAAAATTTTCCCTAGATGAGACTTAAAATAATTAGCACTGGCAGGTATCACATAGGACCCTACTTGCTGCTGTGGACCCTGATTAAATTCCTACTTTTAGAATGACCACTTTTGATATCAAATGGTCTATTCTTTCTATTAATCTCCCATTTTTTCCTGACTAGATCCATATCACGCTCTAGAATTATAACACTTTTAACTATTTTAGCAAAATCTTTTATGCATAGATGAATTATGACTTATCTCAATGAATCTTTGTGGCCTTTCAAAAAAACATTTGTCTATAGAAGTACTAATAAGTTGTGGAGCATATCTCAACAAAGTTGTAAACTCTACCTCATATTGAATAATAGACTAGAATCCTTGAGTAAGATTCACAAAGCTCTTTTATATTGCATATCTTGCTAACGGAGGAATATACCAATCTTTAAAGACTTGCTCAAATTACTCCCAGGTAATTAGCTCCTCAGGTGTATCCTTAAAAATTTTCAAATGCCACCCTCTCCACCCTAATTCTACCTCACCTTCCCACATAAAAATCATTAGGAATACCCATCTATCATGTGGAAATTTCATCCCATACTATATCTTTTCAATTATAATCATCTAATCCTCAGTAGCTCTAGCGTCTACTCCTATGTAAAATAAAGGTGGTTCTAAACTCTAAAAGAGCTTTAAATGCTTGTCTAATTTTACATTGATATGGGCACCTGCTCCTATATTTTGCACTGTTACTTAGAGCTATAGGTGTGAGTAGTATAGCTGCTGGTGGTACACTAGGTTCTGCATGTTCTACAAAAGATATATCGTTTCCATCATTTTCATTATCATGCCCATCATTTACATTTACATCATAGTCCCAAACATTACATTTATAGGATCAGGCACCACTAGCATATTAGTTATTCTAAGCATACTGTCCTCAATTGGTGCATATTTTTTAGGATCCACAGATGCTCTATTATGCTTAGCTTATTAGCTACTAGCCCCCTCAAGTACCCTTTTAACCATTATATCTGTAATATATTACATCTGAAATGAAGTACCTCATAAAATATACCTTTTTATAATCATGCACACATTTTAATATGTTACTTTTATATGCTAAATGAAGTTGGGATCAAGAGTTCGACTCATTACTAACTTAAGGACACTACTCCCACCTAAGCTCTGTAATACTCATTGGAATCCTCCTCCCGATTGGATCAAAGTTAATGTTGATGCTTTATTATTGCCTTTGTATAAAGTTTGAATTGGTGGTGTATTCCATGATAATAAAGGTAATTTTCTTCTGGCATTTGGACATGCTTGTGTTATTTGGGATGTTTCTCGATTGGAGATTTTAGCTATTCAATCTCTAAAGGATGTCATTAAAGATTGTATGTTCAATTATAAGGGAATGATCATTGAAGGTGACAATTCCAACATTATTAAAATTCTTCAAGATGCAATAACGAAAGGTGGCAGGGATGAAAGATCTTGCTTTTATCAAGGATTTCAACCATGTAATGAAATCCTCATAATCTTATTTCATGCTTTGATACCACTCTTGTCATGCCCCATGTCGATCCCTCACCTAAAAATGTAGGGTGCAACAGAGAAAATCATATAATTCCTAGTATTCAAGGCTCAAAACCCTATTAAATTTAATATTTTTATTACATTCCCTTATAAAATAAAAGCATTTAAAATATTTCCTTTAGAGTATAAGTTATAACTACAGGGACACTAACCACTAACCACCAAAAGTATTTTCATAATAATAGTTCACATGCCTCTGTTCGGGACTCATCTCATAATACAAATTAACTTGAGTCTAGTCAACTTTCATATCTTTATCCTTTCCCTTTCTATAACAACAACTAGAATAAAAATCTTATGATATATGAAACTCAAAAGATATCCAACACTAATACAATATTCAAGTATATACAACACAATACTTGTCTGTGTATTAACAAGCTAAAGTAAGAAATGCATGTAATCATGTAAAAAGGAAAGATGCATAGTATGGAATCATTTAACTGATAAAAATAATGTTACATGTAAGAGGTATGTTCATCTGAACCAACCATTCAGTATATCCCTTAATGCCAATATTATTGCCCCATGTCCCATACTGCCAACTTTATCAATCATTCCAAATACATTCAATGAGAAAATCATACATCACAATATGTATATACATTTAGTTGATAAGATAACTTCCTTTCTCTTGCCATGTAAAGTGTCATGTCCACATCGTTAGATTTAAGTTTATAGCCTGTAGGCAATTGAGGTGTAGGCTTCATATAATAGTTTAGTTCAAACTGCCTCTATTACCCGTATGGTTCATATTATAGCCCATAGGCCTCAAGTCATACTGAGGTCACAATACCTCTGGGTCGCATTGCCCATTAGGGTTGCATTGCCCTGTTCACCTACCGCCTCACATGACACATTCTCCGGATTTTCTTATCATTATATTTTCTCATCCAAATTGTGTGATATTTTCCTAGAATTTTTACATGTATGTGCAAACATTTTAGATATAAAAAATTTGGTGTATCAGTATATAGGGAGGTATGAATATATGAGTTACCTATCATAGGATACAATGTAATATACATGTATATAATCACATAATATAATATAATCATCCTATATATCAAATTACATATGACATGGCTACCTAAATCATAATTTTAGGCTAATTATAAATGTTTAATGAAGAAATCAACATTAGACATATCTAATTAAAATTAATTTTGTGCAATATATTACTATATTAATAAATTTCATATCTTATCATCATGGTGAGTTGCTTCTTTGATTTGGGCTCTCCATAATCTTTTATGCTTGCAAATCACCAAAAATCCAAATCTCAATTTCTATAATTGAATAAAATTAATTCATCCTAATTAACAATTTACCTTGTAACTTAAACATCACCTCATTATATACCAATTAAATTCCTAAATAATAATGGAGTATAATCTCCTTTAAGAACATTACCAATATTTTAAAATCTATTAAAGAACATAATAAAATTCAATTTGCTTACCACTATTTGTTCCTTTCCCTCAATTACCTCTTAACGCTTCTTCTTCACTCTAGGAAATTCACTGAATACCGACAATTTTTTTGGTGGTTATTTGACCGCCATAATTACCGACGGTTTGGATGTCAGTACCAATCACCAGAAAAATAGCTGGAATGTTTTAACTACGAAGCAATTACCGGCGACCACACAAAAAATTTTAAGTTACTTATTTTTGGCCGCATTAACCGCTGGTATTCACCACCCAACATGCCATATCCTTCCTCTTCTCAATGCCTACCTCATTTCATTTCGTCCAGATAAGATAACGCCCTTTGCAGCTATAGCCGACCTTCCACCCTAGCCTGGCCGACACCGGCCTTCATCTCCATCTCCTTAGAAGAAGGTGATCTCCTCTCCTTCCATCTCCTTACAACTGGCGGTTTGACCACTTGTAATGACCAGCGATATTTGCACTAGAAATTCCAGAATTTTACTTGCGGTTTCGGGCTTAGTAATATTTGGTTATTATAGCTGCTAAGAAATTGTCGAAAAATATTATTGTCAAAAATACACCGTCAGTTTTCTTTTCCTATATGGATTTTTTCAGCTGTTTAGAAACCATCAGAAAACTAGAAGAATTTTATAAAATTGCCAAAAAAAAATTGGCATATACCACCAAAAATTGCCACCAATAATAAACTATTTTCTTGAAGTGCTTCTATTTCTTCTTCCACTAAATTTTGTGATGTTATTCAATAAAGAAAAATTTTATACTTTTATATTACAATATAAGAGCCTACATATATTTACTTTGATAAAATTTATACCCATAGTCATACTAAAGAGATTGATGTTGATGAGGATGCCATCCTTATTATTGAAAATTTAGAATTAAAAAATATTTTTATTATTGAAAATTTAGAATTAAAAAATATTTTTATTATTGAATTTATTTATCTTTAGGTTTTATAGAATATAACGTTCAACAATTTCTAAGTACTAGAAGCTACTAATCATCAAGTCTTATGCTCATATTTTTAATGCTACCAATCCTCCAAGGTTGAGGTAGACTGATAGCATAGAGTCCTTCATTTTAATTAAATGTTTTAATCCTTAAAACATTCTTAATCTAATATACCTTTGCCCTCTTGAAAGAAATCAAGCACAAGAGTTTGAAAAGCTATAATGTCTACATATTTTATTATAGATATTTATTTGAATTTAATTTTTTACTTATTAATTTATTTGAGTTTATATTTTGATATTTACATTCTTTTAAATTCTTTCGTAGCGATGTCATAACGAGCATGAGAACCCAGGGCATCCTTAGGACACGTAGCCCCACAACTCAAGGTAGTCTATGCTAAAAACATTAGCAATAGGAATGTTGGTTGTTTATTTAATATTTTTATTGATTTATTTTCATTTAATTAATGATTTATAGAAGTTTTAAAGATTTATTGATTTTCCATATTTTAATGCAATAAACATAGATTTCATTTCTTGACTTTCTAATTTATGCTGGTTTCTAGGATTTTTATATTTTCATAAATATTAGACCTAGAGATGAGTTTAATGCTTTTGAGTTTATTGAATTTGGAACTTTCTGGAATTTGTTATAAATTTTACAAGTTCGGTGCAATTTTGTATTAAGTTTGATCCAAATTTTGATTTTTTGATTTATAGTGAAATTTAGAGTTTTTATATTTTTCCTAAATACTATACCCAAAAATAAATTCAATGCCTTTAAGTTTATTGAATTTAAACTTTTTTATAATTAGTTATTAATTATTAAAGTTTGGTGTATTAATATATTTATTTAATTCTGACCATTTTCTTATTTTTGTAACAAATTAACTCCAAATCTCTTGAATTCTTTCCCAAATGTCAGAAAGGACGTTTGGAGATGATTTCAAGTGTTTAAAATTATTTTGATATTTTTTATTTATTTTTAGATATTTATTTTAATCAATAGTAAATTTGTTGATTTCTGTAATTAATTTTAATTTTTGATGAATCTAGTGGTCCTTTTATTTTTCCTCTATTATGATTTTCATTTTGAGAATTTTGATATATTATTTGAAATTTTTGGATTTAAAATGAATTTATTGCAAAATTTTAAAAATCCTCAGTCAATTTTGTACATGATTCTTGGGTTCATTAAATGATAGACCAAATGACATCCAAATGTAGTGAAATTTGAAACATATCTACATGAGTACATGTGCTTCAATCATACTAAATTTGGGCTCATCAATGCCTCCATAGGTTGAGATGACAATTAATAAAACTAAATACATCCATAACTTTGATAATTTGTTTTCAAAACTGGACTCACTAGAATTGGGTGAAATCAATGGCTAATTAGCCCTTGGACATATCTAAGCTCATCACAAAAGAATGAAAATCTAATTCTAATTGTGTAGATAGTAATGAATTTTCAAAGTTATGGATCGTAAATGGACCTATAAATTAAAAAATTCAAATCACAAAAAATTAGATCAGATCAAGATTTAAGAAAAAATAGGTTAAGTCAAGGATACACTCTAACATATACCATCCAAATTTGAGGGCAATTTGATAATTGGATATTGAGAAATTCAAGAAAAAGGTAAATTAATCATCTCTATTTTCTCAAAATCTACTATAAAAAAATATTGAAATTATTTTTATAGTAGGGCTCAAAATCTTTCCCACAAGACCAAGAACACTAAATTTGGATGAAAAATAAATTTTCTATAATTTTTAGAACTTATAGGCATCTAATGAATTTAAATTCATTTTTATTAATTAAAATAATAGAGCTGCCATTTTTGGAGCTGACACGTATTGAGACATGCGTCAGAAAAACTACATGATTCAGTTTCACAGATCTACATCAGATCATTCAATCTACTGGTTATAATCAAAGCACGTGAGACTGATGGCTAGGATCACGCCATGTAGCCTCTTGCGATTTAGATCAATGATGATTGAAAACCCTCAGCTGGTGCACTATTTTGTTTGGGTAACATGGTCAGTTCTAAGCCATCTGATTGCACTAAATGCATGATCGGATGTCTCTGGTCAATCTAGCGTCATTTTAGTACAAAATGAACTAAAATTTTTAAATGCTTATAACTTTTGTTCCAACCATCCAAATTTTATGAAATTTGAAACAAAGGATCATGGCATCCCAATCTTTCAATCCACAGAGTTTTAAGGCTCCATGCATTGAAATTTAGGAGAAATATTAGTTTGATAAAAAAAATTCAAATATAGATAACATGCTAACATGTGGTTGGATTTTCTTAATCTTGGTCTTATTGGAAAGCCTGAGAGACCCTCTTCAACTTCCTAAAAGGCTCTAAGAGTTGATGATGGATGGATCAAGAGATGGATCTAAATGATCCTTTCTCTCTCTGTTAGTTTGGGAGATTTTTTTTTTTTTAACTATGGAAGGGCTGAAGAGGCTAGAAGAGAGCTGGGGGCTTATTTTGCAGCTGGGAGAATGAGTTGATCATCCCTTTTATAGAGGTTTTGGGTGGTATTTATAGAGAGAGAAATTTGAATGGAGGGTCTAGATCTTGCAACCTAAGCTTAGGCTAACATCCATTTTAGTTATAGACTAGCCAAAGGGAGCCAAGGGAATGTTTTAGAGAGTTTGAAAGCGCATGAGTGTTTTTTGAGGGAGTTAGGATTGAACTAATAATTGGAGAGAGGTTATTACCAAATTAGCAGACCATGTCACATGAGATGGCTTGGGCATGTGCAATGAAGCTTGTAGAGTATACCCATGTGCTAAATCAAGCCAAATTAAGCTGGGTTGGGTTGGAGCTCCATTTAATAGGATTTGGGAGGGTTGATTCATCCTGCACTTTGACCAAGCCAAACCATGGGTTCAAACTCTTGGGGTTGTACAAGGGATTAATACACAACTCCTAGTGCAATTTTCAAAATTTATTTTGACAAGGATATTAATTTATTGCAAGAAAACCTAATTTTTAGCACATTGTTCAACAATGTGGTCCCAAGCATCCCAAGGGTTGGAAAATTTTAAGGAGACTCATGTTGAAATCATAAACAATCCTGATGAGTTTGGTTCTATGATTTGGTCAAAATCATGATAAATTTGTTTTTAAGTGTATATGTTGATTTTGGCCAACTAAGGTGATCTAGTCAACCATGTTTGACCAGGGGTCAATAATTAGTCCAATTCATTTCAAATAACATTTTGGACTTATTGGAGGTGTTTCCATGGCTTGGTGAGGTCATTTAATACAAAATGTATATTTAAAGGCTTAAGGGCCCCTTTGGTCAACCTAGATTAACTTGCTCAACTTGGATTGACCATGGCTTGGATTTATGTTTAATGCTTTTCAAATGTGATTTTGAGTTTTTGCAGGTGGTACCAAGGTTTGGTTGGGTATCCATACAAGTAACATAATATTAAGGGAAAAAGGTTAATTTGCTTAACTTAGGTTGGCTTGGTTATCAAAGGTTGACCAAGGCTTAGGGTTTAGTTCAATGGATCCAAAATCATATTCTGGATATATTTTGCAGAAGTTTGTATGGCTTGGTTTGACTAAGCCATATTGAGGTATAAGGAAAATTTTTCAAGGATTTGGATTTTAGGATTTTATGGTCAACCAAGGTTCAATTTTGATTTAATACATCATTTAAGTGATGGTGATCATGGTAAATGAGTTTGGTGAAGTATTCAATGTTAAAATCACAAGTGCCATGTTCAATGGCATGGGCTATAAATATTTGAAGACTTTGCATCCTATGGAAATACTTTGAGTTTTAGGGGTTAACGATCTTGAAATGCCTTCAAATTTATGTGCTGACATTAGGGACATATCTAATCAATATGTAAGTGATAGATCATGAATTAAATTTCATTTGGTTAGGTTTTAGGGAAATGGAACTTTCTCCAAAAATTGGTTATGGTCCAATGGGTTTTGGGTTTGCTTCTGGCACTGAATTTGGGAGTTTTGAGCTTGAAATGGGTTTGATCGATGAGTTTGATTTATATTTGATTTAATAAAAAATTTAGAAGAATATAGGGTTTATAATGCTCAGATAGTTGATAATCAATAATGATTATCAATGATTGAATCAGTGATTAGCAGATAATCACTAGCGATACTCAACTGATGGATTTAGGGATTAATTTTGATTTAGGTTTTGAATTGACCAATGAAGATCAATGATCAAAAGAAATATAGTTTTACAATGATCATATCACTGATAATTATTTCGTGATTGTTATGTGATAGATCAGATGATCAAATGACATTTAGGGTGCCTATCAAGTGATGATTTTGATGTCAATTATTTTATCACTATGCTCCCCCACAATCATGGGTTAAATTTAAAGTTTGAAGTGCAGTTCAATGATTTGAGTGTGGATATATATATGAGGTCAATAAGTCAACTTAAGAAATGTTAGGAAATTTCACTATCATTAGTCCAAAATACTATATATATTAGTATCTTCACTTTTCTTCTACAATTCTAATTCTAGATAACATAGAACCCAAAATTTCTTACATAGCATAATTTTTGTAGCTTGAAATAGATATTAGTAGAATAATTATGTGAATTAGAACACTTCTTCACTGGATCAACTCTCTTTTATAAACACTTTTATTATGTAATTGGCACACGAACTTACATTTGCAGTGGGGATTTATATTTGAATGCATATATGCATAGACTATGCAAACATCCCACATCCCCAACACCCAGTCAAGTTTTTGGTTCTATTGTAGGGGAAGTAATGCACATTCTTGTAATTATCTAAATTGTTTGAAGAAAGTTGTATATTTCATTCTACTTGTATCTTATTTAGTTATTACTATTATTTTGTGAATCTTTAAACTTGTGACTAATTAAATCTTGTAATTTATTATTTTTTATTTTGTTAATTACATTTCAATTTTTGTTTTTATTGGTGTAAGCATAGTAAAGCTATAAAGGAGCCTTTATATTTAATTAAAAGACTGAAAGAAACCTTACAAAAAAATTAAAAATAAATTATCATTAGGAATGGATGATCAAAATCTAAATAAGGACCATCCTAGACCTCTTAGGGAATATGAAAATATTGTAACATATGGAATTCATTAAAGTAAAAGCCGACCTAGCTACTATCCAAGCTAATAACTTTGAGTTGAAACTTGTAATAGTTTAAATTGTTTAGAATTCTTAGTTTAGGGGAACTCCTATTTTATTTTTAGTAGGATAAATTATGTAGTTAGATTAAATAATAGTAGTTTAATTGCAATTAAGTTATACACTTCCTTATGAGATTGACACTCTTCTCTATCACCTTATTACTTGATTCAACATGTATACTACTGAATCTATTGGACTTTCATAAATTTTATATCAAAGAAAATCTAAGCATATTTCTACATCAATTAGAAGGAAGCTATGCAAAATTTGCATCATTTTTTCAAGGTCATAGGTTTGTATTTGA